TGATTAAACCTTGTTTGACACACATTATGGCATGAACAGTACTTCTCAGGAAAGCTTTACAAAGCTCAGGCTGGCCCTCAGAGGCATCCTGGCAAGGGTCTTCTCCAGCTGTAGTAAATGCTTGTGCTTACATGGTATTTAGCAGCAAGGCAGGTGCTGCCCATGCAGGAATTCTTGGCACTTTATTCCGTACCCATGTTATACATATGTTGAAGGGTGTCTCTCAGCATCATTATGTCCCTGCAGAGGGATATGAGCGATCTGCAGCTCTGACCATGCAAAGCTGTTGCAAGAATAAGTAGAACCTGGGGTAATTCAGCCAGAGCTTGTCAGCCCCTGTGTTGAATTAGTTGAATGTCTCCTCAGCTTACCTTGCCTTTGTTGCTGGTAACTGCCCATTTTGAGCTTTCCTCCTACATCTGCAGGTTTTGAGTTTTGATTCCATATTGTGATCCATAAGTCCTCACCCTGCAGGTGAAGCTCCAAGGCAACATTTTACTACCTACTGCAGAGCTGGGAAGACCCATCTAGGTTAAAGAAAGCCTCTTTCCACTGTTCCACTTCAGCCTCTTTACTGTGGAGATCTTGCTTCTAGAACAACCACCTCCTGCTTCCCAGATAGAGCCATCAGAAAAAGACACCAGTACCCTTTAGTCATACTCAGCCCCTTTGGACCAGCAGTAGACCTCTGTCTTGGTGACATCTGGCTTTAACCCTCCTCATTTACATAATGAGATTTCCTGCTGTGCTGGTTTCAGACCTAACCACCGCTAAACAAATATCCACAGGCTAGGGGGAAATCCAGATGAATAAAAAACTTGAGCCTTCTAACACAGTAACTGGCTGCTTCTCAGAGCAGAGGGAGTTTGAGCTAGGCGTCCCCAGTCACTGTTGGGCATAGGCTTCTCTAATGTTTGTTGGACGAGGTGGGGCTGGAGTCTGCTGATAGCACTGCGTTCTTACTGCAGCAGGGATGTAGCTTTCACTGCACTTGACAGTTCAGTCAGATTGATCAGCTGTGAAAGCCTAAGGCTGTCAAACCGTGAGGAGTGTTGCCATCTCCAACCCCCACCAAACCCCTGCATGGCTGTGTGCTGTAATGTGCCCCGACCCTCACCCTGTCCAGGACACTGGATTTCCTCTCGCTCTTCCTGCAATGAGATGAAGGATCACCCTGCATTCCCAAGTTTGGTCTTGTATCTATACTGACAACAGGAGGTCTCAGATAGCCCAGGGGCCAGGGCAGGAGAGGCCTCTAAGCAACATCAGTGGCACATTTCTAGAAGTCCATGCAAGAGAGCCTCTCAGGAGCAGAGATGGTGTGATGTGCTGTGAGCTAAGAGAGGGGTCAGTAGCTCTCGCATGTCAGATCCTCAGCCACTGGCTTCAGAGGGTAGGAAGGAATCTGCCGCCATGTACAAAATTGCACAACCTGCCATGTGTGCTAAGGAGAGGCTTTGCCCGTTCTCTGGTTTACCCAGGTCTGATTGCACCAGGAGACCAGAGGCCAGCCAAGACAGAGCCCTTGTTTGATGCACCAGGGTAGATTCCTTGCTGCCTGCAGTCAGATCTTCTCATTGTCGCTTTTGCCAGACAAGAATGAACATCACCCTCTCTGAAGTGGGGATCGTGTTGGTGCTTGACTTTCCTGCACCTCTCAGGCTCCATGGTCTGCAAGGTGCTTTGCACCTCAGAGGCAGTGCAGGCAAATGTGACAGACAGCACTATTCTGCTCAGCCACACTTTGCACTACTCAAGGTGCCGAGGTCAGAGGAGGTCAGTGGTTGTGTTTCTGTCATGTCCTATGATTTCACCTTTTGCCTGAATGGAGAGTCTTAAGCAATGCTCACCTGTGATGGCACAGCACCTTGTCATGCTGCCTGCTCAGGCCAGACTGGGCATGAGCCCAGGTGCAGCTGACCTCTGTTGCCTCTTTGTTAAAGGCGCAGAGAGGCCGTTGCTCAGCAGAGTTCCTGTTTCTTCTTTGTTCAAGAAGCCAAAGGAGATATTTGTTTCATTGTTGTGCAACAAAAAAAAAACACAAAACAGGAAGATGACAAGTTCAAAATAGCCAGCCCAGGCCAGTCCTCAGCTGTTTCCTGACTGACACTCAACCCATCTGCAGCTCCCAAGCCCTGAGAGTGACTGGGCTGTGGGGGCATAAAAGTAGTGGTATGGAGGGAAGGTGTGCAGGCGGGCTGCCTGCAGCCAGAAGCAGGAGGAGCGTGCTGCAGAAATGCTTCTGAGGCCTCACACAGACTTCCAGGAAGAACCACACACAACTCTGGGCGGAGACTGGGTAGGGCAGTTTCACTCCCCAGAGAAGTGCTGCCAGAGCTACTCAGGGCTGGAAACAGCGGCTGGGACTGAACCTCCACCTCCACTGCAGGCACTGCCTGCAGGTGCAGTTGTCAGCCAAGCTTGGTGTCATGGTGTGGGGCAGCTTGCTGCGGAGGTTTTCTGGGGGCAGATTTTGGACTGGCTTCCTGACTGCTGCTACTCCTGCTTTGCTGGCAGGCTGACTGGGCCCTTCATCTGACCCATGATATATTTGGCTAATGACCAGGGATCTTGGTTTTCTCTGATTAAAAAAAAAAAAATCCTGAGTTTTCAGGTTAAAAAAAGTAGCCCAAAATCCACATTTTTGTGTGATTAAAATGAAACACCACTAATATATATAGATATGTATTAGTGGTGTTTCATTTTAATCATGGAAAAAATTGGATTTGGGGTTACTTTTTTTAATCTGAAAATTGGGGATTTTTTTATCAGAAAACCAGGATCCCTGGTCATCAGGCCCTACATGTTGAAGAGCATCTGGTGTGTAGTAACAGGGAGTGCAATACCCTGGGGCAGGGCCTGAATGATTTGGTTTTCAGTTCTGAGGTGGGTCGCTACCTTGGGTCTGTGCTTTGGTCAGGGGGGAGCATTGCTTTAGCTACTGCATGAAGGCGCTGGGATGGCAGGGCTGGGGCCTCTCTCCTCCCAGGCTCTGCTGCAGCCAGTCACTTTGGGAAGCACTGGGCCTCCCCAGCCCACGTGAGTCAGCAGTTTCAGTCCTCTCCAGCCTGTTGGAGTTTATACGCGTGACCTCAGGCTCAGAAAAGTATTTATGAGCCATGGCTTCATGGTAGGGTCATCTTTTGCACAGTTTCCAGCTCTGTCTCTCGTGGTGGCACTTAGCTCATCATCCTGCCTGTATTAAGAGAATGGGCTGCTTTCAGTTTTGGGAAGGTGGATGGGAGCTCTGCTCATGGTGTTTGTATAATCCTGTAGGGGTTTTGGCAGAGAGGGCATCACCCTGACTCCAGAGTCTCTCCATGTATGGGGAGCAGAGCACAGCAGTTATTTTGTGGTGGGGAACTGATTGCCATGGGGGGTGGAGCAGGGTGTGAGCTGGTTCAGGGGGTCAGATCTGTCCCCTCTCTGTGAAGACCTCTGTTCAAGCTAGCGCAAAATTAGTCCCTTGGGAAGCTTCTGAAGCAGCTCTTTCCATCACAATAAACTTTTTGAGCCCTGTGCTTCTCTCTGAGGGCACCAATAGTGTTCTGCCTCTAAGGGTTAACGCCTTGTTAAGTGTCCCCGTGGGGGAAAGTCACCCGCTGGTAGGAACAGAAAAAGCCAAAGCAGGGTCTGCTGTACTGCAGGGGAAGGAGTGACATTGGGGCGAGGCAGATCTGCAGCCACCTCTTGTCTCGGGGCTGTGCAGAGGAGCACCCCCAGACACACACACGCATGTGCACACACAAACACTGTGAAATCAGTGTCCAGTCAGAGCCTCCCGTCTTTCACCTGTTGTGTAGCTTGGGAGAAGGCTGCAGAGATGACCAGCTCCTCCAGCCAGTCTTAGCACTTGAAGATGCCACTGAAGCAGGGACCTCCAGCCACTCTGACAACCTGGAGCCCGCTGCCTATGCTCTGTGGCTGAGGCGCCATTCACTCCCAGTTCTTTGCCTCCCTGCCCCGTCTCTTCACCTCAGCTGCCCTCCCCCTCTTATTCTCTTATTCCTTTCCTTGGCGCTCTCACTCAAGTTTCTTTCCATTTGGCCAATCCCCGCCCCCCACTAAACTCATCTTACAAATGAAGCTGTCCTGCCCAGGGCCATCCCTGGTGGGGGGAGGGGTGAATCGGGGCAATCGCCCTGGGCCCTGCACTTGGGTGGCCCGCAGAGAGGCGGCGGCTGCAGTTTAGTCCACCCGCCCGCCTGGCAGGTTGGACGGCTCTTTGCCTGTTCTGGCCGGAAGTTCCAGCCACCGCGGCCGGTGTGCCGGGGCTTTCACTCCAGGCCTGGCGTAAGTGTGCCAGGGGAGGGGGAGGGGGAGGGGGGCCCCGCACCCTGCTGGGATCATCTATGCTGATCACCCTGCTGATGTCTATGAAATCTCTGGTCTTGCCATTTGGTGCCATTGCACTGTTCTCTCTGGCAGCCTGTTCTGCCCCTTCCCCATGGGGTCCTCCTGGGCTGTTTGACCGCCAGCTCTTTGGGGCAAGGATCATCTGTTACTGCATGTGTTGGGCACCTAGTGTAATGGGGTGTCATGTTTTGTACCCCTGAGGCAGTACCATAACAGCCATGGTTGATCTCACAAGGTGATGAGAAATGCTTTTGGTGCCTGATACACTTTCCAGCTCAGCATCAGTGTGGAGTTGTGGGAAGCTATTCTTAACTTGGGGCTGACCCCTCCCCCTCCCCTGCCTGCCGGTGTGCCTGGCTTGGCTGTACCTCCCACCCCCACCCTACCCCCAAGGGATTTTGAAACTGGGATAAACCAGCATGATGGTGGCCATGTCAGTTCCTGGGGCCAAACCAGCAGACAGGGCTGCGCTGGCTGAGGACACTACTGCCCTGCCTCTGACTCCATGGGGTGCGTCTTGGCCAGCCTGTGCTCGCTGGCAGCTTTGGGGATGGTTTACATCCTTAGCTGTTGCTAGCGGAAACCTGAGGCCCTTGTTTAAAACTGCCTAATGGAATAGCTGTGTCTGTCTTGTCCCATTTCAGAAAAGCTGTACAACTCCCAGGGGCCGGAGCTGAGGCGCTCTCTTTTCTCCCTGAAGCAGCTCTTTCAGGTACAGTTCCTCAAACCCTGCAAAGCATCCTGGAGCCAAGCCCCCAACCCAGAGCCATGGCACCTCTTGAGCCTACTGCTGTGCGCCAGGGCTCGTGTGCTAGTGTCGCGCTGCACTGGGGCACGCCGGAGATTCTGGGCTCACCTGAGGGGCTGGGGTACTTCACAAGCCAGTCTCCTCAGTTACTAATATGAATGAACACTGAATGTCACCGTTTCATGCTGCCTGCCATTTTGCTGGGCTGCATGTTCCTGTTTTGTGGCAGCTGGAGGTTGGGCTGATGGAAGTTGGGACTTGGTGCTTTTGGCCTGGGGGCAGTTGGGGTTTGTTATATAGCTTCTTCCCTCTGCATGTCTCTACCATGGGGAGGGGGGTGTACAGCAGGAGCCTTTGGACTCTTTGTTTTTGTAGCAACTATCTCTTCCTCTGGTTGTTGCCTTAGTGTCATTTGTAACATTTGACTGCAGCGGCCTTGCAGATGATCTGGAGGTTCCTGCT